TTGGAAGTATCTTGGTACCCGTCCTGAGCCCTCCCAGGTCAATTCAACAGAGTATCAGAGAATATGTGGGAAGTATGGGCACAGGGTGAGGCTCCTGGTCCAAGTCGGGGTGACCTGCGGGAGTGACGTGTCCCCAGGGAGCCAGAGCCTCCCTGGCACTTCCCAGCCTCACGTTCCAGGGAGGGAAAAGGCGACTGCTCCTGAGGCAGAATTTTTATTTTCTCTTTTAACACTGCTGAGCACATGCTGAATTTTGGGGGTTTTCAGGCTGAGTTCAGCCACACGAGTGTGTTAGCCCGGGCGATGTGTGTAAAATCACTTCCTTTTTGCCCCTGATGCTTCTTGGCTCCCTTTGGGAGCCTGGGTCCTCTCAACTCGATTTTAAATACGTTACACGCTCATTGTAGAAAATTTCAAAACAGCAAACATGCATAAAGCTTCAGAGAAACAAGCCACCATGTGTCAACATTTTAGCACACCTCTTCTCAGTTATTTTCCCCCGTAGGCATTGATTTTATGAAGTTGAGATCATGATGCAAACATGTTTTTATTGCTTTGATATTATTATGGCGTAAAATTTCCCTATGTTGTTAACAAGTGTTCCTGAACATCAGTTTATTTGGGGCGGGGGGCTTTTTTAAATTTTAATTTTTTAGTTAAAGTATAGTCATTTTACAATGTGTCAGTTTCTGGTGTACAGCATAATATTTCAGTCATACATATACATACATACATTCCTTTTCATTATAGATGGTTACTACAAGATATTGAAGATAGTTCCCCGTGTTATACAGTATAAACTTGTTGTTTATTTATTTTATATATAATAGTATCTGCAAATCTCAAACTCCCCATTTATCCCTTTCCCACCCTCTTCTCCCTGGTAATCTAAGTTTGTTTTCTATGTCTGTGAGTCTGTTTCTGTTTTGTAAATAAGTTCATTTGTATCTTTTTTTTAAGATTCCATGTATAAGTGATGTCATATGATTTTTGTCTTTATCTGACTTACTTCACTTATGATGATCTCCAGGTCCATCCACGTTGCTGCAAATGGCATTATTTCATTCTTTTTTATGGCTGAGTAGTATTCCATTGTATAGATATATCACAACTTCTTTATCCAGTCATCCTGAACGTCAGTTTAGAGTTTGCAGCACGGTCCAGTAGAACTTTCAGCAGGAATGGAAATGTTCTAGACCTGCACAGCCTAGCGTGGGCCACCGGTGGCTGTTGAGCACTTGAAATGGGGCAAGTGTAACTGAGGAACTGAGTTTTACCTCTCATTTTATTTTAATTATATTTGAATAGGCACGGTGGGCTAGGGGCTCCCATATTTGACAGTGCAGGTCTAGAATATTCCATGGCAATACCCATTGTTGGATAGCTAGTTTGGGTCTGGGTTTTCCTGTTACCATCAATAAGGATGCAATAATTATTTCTCTATTTCTTGCCATCTTTTGTCACAAAGTATGTCTCTTTAGGGTTAGTTTCTGGTGAAAGAACACAAATATTGAACTGAGGGCCAGATGGAGCTGGTGTTTCAGATTGAAATGCAGGGCCTGGGCATGTGTGCCTCTCGCCAGTGTCCCAGATCTCCTAGGTGCCCTTGGGCAGAGCCAGGTCTAGGGGGCAGAGCCTGGTCCACATCCAGACAACTGGGGGAGGCCCCGGGCTGCATCACCCAGAGCAAGACCCTGTCTCCCCAGCACGCAGGGCAGCCCTCCTTGGAGACCAGAATCTGAAGGAAGCACCCAGCCCTCAAGGGCATGTGGTGGGCAGGATGTGGCTGGACCAGGACTGTGCCTGTGGCCAGCAGCCATTAGCTTACCCAGGGGGCAGTTGTGGCTCACTGACTCCGGGTTCCTTCCCTCCCCCTCACTGCTCCCTTGGGGTGAGTGAGGACTGGGAATAGAGATATGAAGTCTCTGCTTCTGCACTTCTGCCCACAGTGGATGCTAGCCTGGCTCGTGGTCAAGGATGGCAGGCCCAGGAGGTGCTCTGGGGGCACAGGAACAAGCAGGCATCCTCACTTCAGGTAGGAACATTGAGCCTGTCCCCACAGGTGGCCCGGCAGTCTCCGACCATGTTCGTCCTCATCATGAATGGCTGTCACATCGAGATCGATGCCCACCGGCTGAACGACGGGGGTCTGCTGCTGTCCTACAACGGTAACAGCCACACCACCTACATGAAGGAAGAGGTCAACAGGTGCGTGGTGGTGAGGGGTCGAAAATACAGAGCAGATCCGAGTACAGTCTGACGGTCTTAGCCAAGGCACCTCCTCCA